CCTGCGTTGAGTGCTTGCCCCTTGGTGGTCAGTGCACATTATAGCTATTGTCTGGTAGTAACAGTCACTTAGGCTTTTATATAGATAGGTTTTCTATTTCACAACTACCTTATTTAATCTTCACTTTCTGAGAATAAGGACTATAATCCTGTTTTATAGAAGAGGAGAGTAAAACTCAAAAGGTTAAGAGATTTAAGATGTTAAGTGGTAGCTGGGATTTAATTTCAATGTACTTTCAAACCCATGTTCTAAACTCAATCACAATTACTGCATGCTCTCCCAAAGTCCATTTTACAGTGGTTACTAAGCAACTACCAGAGTATGCTCCTGGCTGGGCACTATTTCAGATATGGTAATCCACACACAATAAAAATTGTGTATATTCTGCTCCGTTTGTTAAATTGAGTTGATAAGTTGTCCTTGTGGGGCATGTCTAAAACTGGTGTTTACAAACAATGGCCAAGAAGTCTTTTAAAATCCTGAGTTGCAATTGTGTTTGAACACCCATTCAAAAAAATCATATAATGTTTACACAGTGACTAAAAAATTCAGTATTGGAAGAGGCCGGATGTGAAATGCACTTACATTTTTCACTTTACTAAAAACTAAGAAAGAAAATAACTATTAGTACTTGAAGAAAAAACTGACAATATTTTCACTTTGAAAATTATCAAATTGGATCTTTAGCTTATATATCATAATATCAAATTTCACTGAGTATTCTAATGGAAGACACTTAAAAATATAATGGAAGATGAATTAGACAACAGCAATGTATAAATATAAAACACAACTGCCATAAGAAGAAAAAGAGAAAGCAGGTTAGCATATAATGTGGTTTGTTTGACATCGATTAGTAAAGGATAGAAGTAACATGTGAACACAGGTCTGAGTACTAGTTAAGGAAGGGAGCAGATAAGGAAAGGCAGAACACTTCAGGTAGAGTTAACAAATACAAAGGTCCGAAGGGAGAAGCATGTTTAATGTGAGGAAAGGCATGAACGTCAGAGTGGCTGAAGAAAAGCGAGCGAGCCCTTGCCGGTTTTGCTCAGTGGATAGTGAGTTGGCCTGTAGACTGAAGGAGCCAGGTGCCATTTCGGCTTGCACCTTGGTTGCAGGTTCCCTGCCCTGGTCAGGATGCATGCAAAAGACAACCAACTGATGTGTCTCTCTGTCTCTCCCTCTCCCTTCCATTCTCTCTAAAAATCAATGGAAAATTTTCCATTGATTAAAATGTGGTGGTGTTTTTAATCCTCACCCAAGTCAGTGAGGTAGAAAATGAAAGATAATCAGAATTGGATTTTATAATTATGGGTCTCAGCAATGGTAGTAAAATAGTATGGCCCTGGCCAGGTGGTTCAGTTGGTTATAGCTCATCCTGTACACCAAAAGGTTACGGGTTCAATTCCTGGTTGCATATGTATGGGAGGCAACTAACAGATGTTTCTTTCTCACATTGATGGCTCTCTCTCCCTCTCTAAAATTAATAAAAACACATCCTTGGGCGAGGATTAAAAGAAAAATGGTATGGAATGGAGTATTAGAGCCTGTCCTATACAATAAGGATAGTATTGTTTTGTGAAATTTTTGTTTCAAATTTGTATATGGGTTTACTGGGTTTCAGTGTAAAATGTATGCAATGGGCCACAGTAAATTTGAAAGGAGCCTGAAGACCATGGTAAAGATCCTAGACATTATTCTAAATAGGACAGAAAGACACTAAGACTGGATAAATGATAAAATCTACTAAAACCTTTAAAACAGGTTGGGGAACATCCAGCACATGGGCCATATAATATGGCCCTAGAAATCATTTGATCTGGCCCTGCCAAAGCATTAGGGATGAGTTAATTAACTTTTTTTTTTTATTAAGGTATTATAAGGCTAACTTTTAAGTTGATAATTTTGTATGGCCCGTGAATATGTTAAATATCCAATGGCCCTTGGCAGAAAAAAAGTTTCGCCTGCATTGAAATTATTAACTTCAAACAAACTACTTATTATTTCAAAGGGGAAGATGAAGACTGGGTGACTGGATGTTCCAAATCAAAGGAGATTAAAGAAACATCACAACAAGAGCAATATGTGACATGAGAATGAATCCCAAATCAGGGGAGAAAATTGTTAGAAGTACATTATTTGATCAATTGGTAACATTTGAAAATGGTCTCCATAAAAATTTGAAAATGGCCTCCATATGACAATGTATTGTATCAAAGTTAAATTTCCTGAATTAAAATTTTAAAATGGGGGTAAAGGGACATGACATGTGCAACTCATTCCTAAAATGTTTCAGCAAAAAGAAGTGGAAAAGCAGAGGGAAAAAAAAATGTGTCAAATGTTAACATTTGCTGAAATCTAAATGAAGGATATTGTTAAAAGCCGAGTTGTCCCGCTCACAATTCACATGCACAAGTCCTAACCCCCAGCACACAGAATGTGACAGTATTAGGAGATAGAAGTTAAAACGAGGTCAAAAGGGTAGGTCCATATCCATTATCTCTGATGTCCTCCAAAGAGATTAGGATACAGACACGTGCAGAGGAAAGACGGCATAAAAACAAAGGAGAAAACAGCAATCTAGTCAGAGAGAGTGGCTTCAGAAGAAACTAACCATGCCAACACCGACCTCAGACTTCTGGCTTCCAGAACTGTGAGAAAATAAATTTCTGTTAAGGCAGCCTTAGGGAAATTATTATATAACTAAATTTTCCAATATGGTCAAGTTTGACAGATAAAACCAAATAAACAGATTAAGTACCCAAAGGAAAGTAAAGAGGTCCTGAGACCAAAAAGCTTGAGAACCACTGGTTTAGATGCTTCCTAAAAGTATTTTCTTCCTTTGTAACTTTTGATCCTATCTTTAATCTTTTTGACAAAAATAGTACCGTATATCAATTATGTGTCTTTTCAACTAGCTTTCAAACTGACATTAACCTAAAAGAATTATTTCCTGTTTGTAACTCCTCTGCTTCTTGTATAACTCACTGTAATTTAAAGTTTTAAAATATCCCATCACATTTTGACTGCTCAAGTCTAAGATCTGGTCACTACAGGCCAGTGATGTCCAACAGAAATAAAATGCAAGCCACATGCATAAATTTTCTACTGGCCACATTAAAAAGTAAAAAGAAACAGAATTTTAATAAAATTATTAATATGTTACTTTTTTCATACTACTTCATAATCTGGTTATGTATTTTACATTTACAGGACATCTCAATTCAGAAAAGCCACATTTCAAGTGCTCACCAGCTACTATGTGGCCAGTGGCTAATACTTTACAAAACATATTTAACATAGCTCTAGACAGAAGCAAAAATACTTCATCTTCAAATGCACTTGAATTCTGATTTGAGTTTTACATCCCAGTGACCACATCTTATTACTTTTCTTCTTCAAATAGAAATATTTAATATTTCTATTTTATTGTGCTGCTGCATATATTTATTGAACACTTTACTTTCCAAATGCCAATCCTGATTTACATTTCTTTCAGGGAATTTTATATTTTGAGAAATCTGTCATTTACAATATAGTTTTGACCTTTTGTTACAGTTTTTTTTCCTAAAACTATAAGGACATATATTGACTTTTCTACTTACAGATCATTTTGAATTATCCAAAGTCAAGACAAATGAAAACAGAACCTGAAGCAAACATTGCAGAAAGAAGTGCAACTGTCAATATAGCACTAGAGGATTCCTAAAGTGGATGTGGCACTGAACCTGCAACATATTACAGCCTCCTTCATCCATGACAAGCCAACTTAATACCCTCTTTTTCTTTTTTAATTATTTTTAAAATTCCTCAGTCTGTTCCATGCCTCTGGGTCTATTTAGTTCATCAGTGTATTTTGTGTATGAATTCATGCACTGGGCTTCTTATGCATTCAGAGATCATAATAATCTGGTCACTCAGTTTATAGTATTAAGTAATGGTTAATGATTCCCCTAAGCAAATATCTCATAAAGTTCTAAAAGTCTTTAAAAATCTACATCTACAAAGCGGAGCACCTATAATAGAGGAATTACAAGCCGGTCCAGAGAGCATTCTTCAGTAACTAGATACACACCTCTCAAAGCTTTTGTACAGAACATAATTTTAAAGGGAAAAATTAACCAGCTTATATATTTATGGCATATCAGAAAGAGGAGGAGAAAATCCGAAAAGGAGTCAAAGATTCTAAAACGAAGGGGAAAAAAAAAAAACTTAAGAAAATGTTAAATCACTGGATATAGAAGAGTTTCCTAAGTTTATAACAGGTTACACAAATAAAATTCTCACAAAAGAATAGTCAAAGTAAAACAAAACAAAACAAAAAACACTAAAACTATTCTATATTTGCATCCCAATTAGAGATCAAACAAAAGAGTAGGTAAAAATGTAAAACAGGCAATAACTATAAACACTATTAATGACAAATTGATTTCCACTCTATATTCTCATGACTTAGTCGATGATTTCTTAATTTGACTTCTGTAACTCTTTGAGATAACTAACCCTGAATATAGAAGTCTTCATGTAAAAGGGGATTTACAAAAACAGCATCATCAGTAATATAATTAAAAAATTAAAGATATGTACTGTAATTTGTAGAATGACCACTACATACACACACATGAATACTAACAGTACAGTATAATCCAGCCATTAAACTCGAGATTGAAATAACATGAGCACAAAATGCAATACTATGTCCTAATGCTGACTGAAAAAATTATAAAATTATTATACACTTTAGGGATAATTGTATGTAAAAATCTGTACACACAAAGCCAATTGAAAGATATTAAATATGCAACAGTACCAAAACAATACATTTTTAAATTGGGAGTAATATGATAAAAAGTTGCCACTTTATGGAGAGATGATATTTATAACACAGCCAGTAATTGCTAATCAAGCCATCTTTGCAAAAAATATATTTGTTCAATTATTTCATCTGAGTAACTTCTATTTCTTCACAAATTTTTAAAAAATCATTATCAAAAACTTACCACATGAGTAGTTTTTAATGTATTGCCATCAAATCTGCACAAACTGGAACTCTCTTCAAAGAAAATATCACATTCTTCTAACTCTTGAGCATTACAAGGAGGTTTTCCTTTATCAGGATCTGGATTCTTCAACCAGAAAATAGATTAAGTATAGAAACAATAGAATGAATTTCTTCATACTTAAAAGTGTTAATATTATAAGAAAAATTAAAAACTAAATTTCAGACCCATGATTAATAAATACTTAATCAGCAGAAATTATGGAATGATGGAATCAGCAAAAGGCATATTGAAACAGCTATTATAAACAAAGCCTATATATTCAAAGATGTAAAATAAACATGTCCAGAGAGTTATGGAAGATATAAAATGGAACTAAATTTATCTAAGATGAGACATTTCAGAAGACCAGTGAGCATGAAACATAATTGAGTTTACATTAAAACACAGAGAAGAAAAAGAAAAAACACAGAATCCTGTTGACGTGTGGAACAACATCAAGTGGTCTAATATATGAGTAATTGAAAAGGGGAAGAAAGGAAAAACTTTTAAAGAAATAATGGTTTACTTATTTATTTATTTATTTTAATTTGATGAAGACTTCACTCCTATAGATTCAAGGTCAAAGCCTGGATGTAGAGCCACCTAGTTGTGGTTGTCTGCTCCAGCTGAAAAATCAATGGAAACAATTCTGGATGTTGTGGTTGGCTGTAGCTGGGGCCACTATTACCCTGACTCGAGAAGATACACATGCCCAGTGGGATAAAGAAAGAACTCTCCACACTCCTTTCTCTCATCCCCTTTCAACTGCCCATATGTTAGAGATAGGAAGACAAAAATGAAAACTCCAGGACTGTCACGGCAGCCAGTACTGAACTGGACAGGATTACAGAGAAAAGGGGGTGGGATCAGGGCAGAGGGGGCCAATTGGGGAGAGTATAAAGGGGAATCTGTAATACTTCCAACAATAAAGATAAATGTAAAAAAAAATGGCATATAGCACATACAGTTATGTATAGTAGTTAATACTTGATAATGGTAATAAACTATGTTACTGGTTCACAAGTTTACTATACTTTTTATTTTAGTCTGTACTCTTTCTACTTATAAAAAGTTTGCTACTTATAAAAAGTTTGCTATAAAACAGTATGCCAAGTTATACCAGCAGCAGCCTCATATATCTGGTGCTTACCGCATCTCAATTGCATCATTATCTTGATTTATTCTCATGTTGAGTTATACAGTAACATGTTATAGAGGTTGGTAGCCTAGGAGCAATAGGCTATACCACCTATGTTTGTGTAAGCGTACTCTATGATGTTTGTACATTTAAGCCATTAAACACGTTACAAAATCGCTTAACACGACATTTCTCGGGACAAATTTCTGTTTTTAAGTTTGTGCATTTTTGTGTGTGTGTGTATATGTAGAAAGAGCGATACATACATAGATGCTTCTCTACCCAACACAGCATGTCCCCCCCATATATATCAAATATTGCAAGGAATGGAAATTGGAATTTTAAGTCATATTCAAACACCAGTCAGCAATAGTTAATCTGTGTCCTTTACCTTTTGAAAACCTGGCATATCCTCATCTTTCTGATTCTTAGAAAATGAAAACACTATTGTAATTGCTTACCAGTTGTTCAGAGGTCAAATGCATCAACCGTTCAGCTATTGCAGCACATTGGGCTGGGTCTCTTATAAATTCCCCTTGCTTATCACCAACTACTAGCTCTGGCCAAGTCAGTCCTTCATTCTTCTTAATCAAGGAAATCTCCAAGCTAGAAGTTTAAATGAGAAAAGTAATATTGTATTAGGCAACTAGACAAATTATACAACTAATACCAAGAGAAGAATCTCCCATAGAAATTACCCCTCCGGTGTCCAGATGTTTTACCAAATATTGTGTTCATTTTAGTTCTGCATACGAAAAATCTGTAATTTAAGTATAGGTAATTTAGATTTAATAAACAAAGTCCTATTGGAAATAGTGTATAAAATAGCTTGATGAGAGAATTGGAAAGAGTAAGGCAATCCAGAAAGCATTGTTGCAGTCCAGCTGTGTGGTATGTTACCAAACTTAAGTAACAGAAATCTAAGTAGCACACATCTGAGATATTTCATTGGGCAATGGTGGGGTGGGAAAATAAAGTTAATTGGAAAGGGCCTATAACTAAAGGTACCTGTATGAGTGTGAAACCAATTAACTTTATTTTCACAAACTAGTAGCCATAATGTATAATTATTCACCTAAAGATCAGGCAAGTTAAATCAATATAAATGTTATTTCTCAAAATTCAGATTTTAAAGAACTGAAATGAAATGTAGGATTTAGAAAAACAATAACTTTGGTAAAACAAGATCCAAGTTAACATGGTCTCTATCAACTTAAAATCTAATACTGTACACAAATTCCAAAGGTACTAAAAAGGGCCTATGGAGGAATCCTGAGATTCCGGTCCGATGCAGCAGAAAAGGGAGAGCGAGCTGAGCCAGGCACACAGTGGACGCAGGAGGACAGGGAGTGGCCACGTGCCTCTTGAATAGAGGGCAATCCAAGTGAGCTGCTGTGGGCGCGGCCTCGGCTGTAACAGAGGAAAGCAGGGTGGGAGCAGCCTTCCCATGTGCCACCTTTGGTTCACGTGCGCTAAGCTAACCCACGCCCTGGAACACAACTGCAAGCAAACAACTGCAAGAACATAATAATAACTATTATCATAATTATCAAACAGAACATGCAACTTATCAACTATTCTTTTTCAAGGCTGTTATCACCACCTCATGAATTAATTACAGCACTTTAAAATTTGCTGAACCTACTTAAAGAGATTATACAAAAAACCTTATATAACATGAATTCCTGTCATTAGCATTAAAATTACCACCACAAACAATAGTGCCCAGGTTTAGTTATATTTTCTAAAGAGAAAGCTAATCCTGATAATGATGATAAAGATGATAATAATGACAATAGCTTATACTGACCAGGTATTTACCATATTCCAGGTGCTATCTTAAGCACTTTACATGTTTTAATTCCTTTATTGCTTACCACAACCAAATAAAGTACGTACTATTGTACAAGTAAGAAGAAAAGCACTGAGGTTAGAAACTTGCCAAGGTCACAAGCTACGATTGCACTATTCTGCCTCTCTGCAAAAATATATGTAAACAACTACTAAAGAACTTTATCCAGCAGAAACAGGTTTGGCTCAGTGGATAGAGCATCGGCCTGCGGACTGAAGGGTCCAGGGTTCCATTCTGGTCAAGGGCACATGCCCAGTAGGGGGAAGGCAGCTGATCGATGATTCTCTCTCATCGATGTTTCTGGTTCTCTCTCACTCTCCCTTCCTCTCTGTAAAAAAATCAGTAATATATATATATTTTTTAAAAACTTTATCCAGTGACCAGAATGTATAAATACTGTTCTTATCAGTTGCTACCTAAAGAAGTTAGAGTTCATATAATCTTAGTTATAAAAAATTCTGATCCTTTTATTAAATTGGCAAAACTTCATGTCTACATTTTAATACTAGTATTGCCATTCAAGCCAAAAGGAACATAAGACCCAATACATAATAAACTGTAGACTAGTTATTCTTACATGAGGAGCGTTATTTGAAAATGAGATACAGATAATTTAATCAACTACAGAAAATTGTGTGCTTTTAAACCAACGATCCCATCTACACATCATACTAATTACCTTTTCTAACATAAAATAGTAATCTAGCAAGTCAAATTCAATGGAAAAATAATACTGGGCTATGGTCAGGGATTAAATGCTTGAAACAATCTGCATGAGCTGCATGAGGTCCAGCTATTCTCATAGACCTTTGGTGGGTTCCTGTTTAATGACATATTTTTACAATATGTTCTATTTGGCTTGCCAGTTTCAATGTATCACACACACACACACACACACACACACACACACACACACACACACAAAATGTTTAAACAGAATATGTGGAAATATATTTTTAAAAGAATCAGATAACTTGAGATTTTGAAAATATATTTTAAAAGTGTAACCAAGTCTTCCAATTTCTCCATTAATAAAATGAATTCAGGATATCTGCTTTAAAGGTTAAAAAAAAAATTAAACTAGATATCATCTTATTTTTTACACTCCCAGGATTTAGACTCAGACCAAAGATTCAATGGGTCATATATTACTGATCAAGAATGATATATTAGGGTAAAATATCTGACACCCATTTCCAATCAAATTTGACCATTTAAAAAATTAAGTTCCTAATACTACTTATTAATCGATCAATGAATTTAAGAATTACTAGGACCTGATACATAATAAGAGAATAATTTTTAAAATATATATATTTTATTGATTTCTTAGAGAGGAAGGTAGAGGGATAGAGAGTTAGAAACATCAATGAGAAAGAGTCATCAATCAGCTGCCTCTTGCACCACCCCTACTAGGGATGTGCCCACAACCAAGGTACATACCCTTGACCAGAATCGAACCCGGGACCTTTCAGTCCGCAGGCAGACACTCTATCCACTCAGCCAAACCGGCCTCGGCTAATAAGAGAATAATTTTATTAATCCAAATGACTGAGGCATGAAGTACCTAGAACAATAGATTTGTAAAGAGGCATAGTGAGGGTATAAGATAATAATAAAAGTGGAATACGCTAATTAGACTGTATGTCTTCCAGATGACCTTCATTTGAAGGAAGCCCTGGTCCAGGGTGAAGGAAGGCCTACTTTTGCATGACTTTCCTGCATGGGTCTCTAGTGGTTTTATAAGATCCTTCATGTTTGTTTACCTTTTAATACTCCTTTAATGGAGGTATAATTTATAAACAAAATTCCCAGGTTTCAAGTGTAGAATTCAGTGAGTTTGACAAATGCATACACCCATATAACCCAAGGAAAATAGTGAACCTTCCAGAAAGTTCCCTGTACCCTGTGCACACACAGTTATCACCTAAAATTTAGGTCCTATCAATAAATGGTTATGCACAGAATAGCATATGAAGCCATAAAATAGAAAAAAAAAAAATGCATTCTTTATGAAAAGCTCTCCAAGATTTATGATTAAAGTCACAAAAGCAAGCTATATCGCTGTTTATAGTATGTGATGAAAACTTTTTTGTTAAAAAAGGAAAATAGTATATATGCTGCTTAAATATGTATAAAAGTAAACTAATATTGTGTTGTAAGGAGTTAGAGATGGGTGACTGGAGGGCCTGAATTAGAGGGAGACTTATCACTCTATAACCTTTTATAGATCTTAAATTTTAAAGAATGGGAATGTATTATCTAATCAACAAAGTAAAGGTGGTAGAAAAATTATTTCTATTAAAAAGTACATATTAAAATAACCATTTTCACCTATTATTGTTGTTGTTACTATTACTATTATTGTATTCAAAGCTGGTAATGAAAAGCACTACTGTGTAATGTAAGCAATAACTATAACTAGTATCTTTAATCTTAACTATAATTATGTTCTTTGACATAGTAATTCCAATTTTAATCTGCCTTGAAAATAATCAACTCAAACAGACCAATTATAGTATTCCCCTTTAAGCTAACTACTGTGGAAAGAATAAAATGTAAAATAATAAAAAATAAAATTTAAATATAAATAAGGGGGGGAGGAAGGCCTCATATTTGGTGATGGGAGAAGATTTAACTTTGGATGGTAGGAACACAGTGGGTAAACAGATCTTGTAATATAGAAATCTGCACCTGAAACCTATATGTTCATGATGACCAATGTCATCCCAATAAATTTAATAAATCAAAATTTAAAAATACAACAATAAAATATATTAAAAAAAAATACCTATTATTTTCTTTAATTATCCATGTACTGCTTTCATGATCAACAGATGAATAGAGATTTCCTTCCAAAATCTTCTGACCCTTCAGCACAACATTAACATGATCGGGCAAAAACTGTACTTGAATGTCCTCCTTAGTACTGTCTTCTGGAAGCCGTACTGTGACAGTCAGATCCTCTTCAGTCTGTTGCCAGTAATACAGAGGCTCTATTGGGAGGGGGGGGAAATGCATTACAATAATAAAAGTGTAATATGCTAATCAGACTGACGTCCTTCCTTCCGGACAAAGCCACAGTGGGTGGAGGCAGCAGGTGGGGGCCGGGGCGAAGGTCCTTGCACAAATTTCGTGCATCAGGCCTCTATGTTATGTAACTAAAAGGTTAGATAACAGAACATACAAAATTAAGAAACTAGAAGATACAAAAGAACACCTATCTAAAAGAAACAGCATATTTTTTAGTGATCTCACAAAAAAAGCAATTATAACCAAACACACAGAGAATTTTCAGTTATAGCAATTGCACTTGTCATTTTCCTCTTCCAGGTTTACCTAAGTATTCATAAAATACTGACAGCCCATTCCTCTCTCCTTGCCTCCCAGTCCCTCTCTTATATACTCTGAAAATCTCTATTAAAAACTCTAACACTCTTTGGCTATAAACATAAAAAATATGAACAGTAATGTTTATAGAGGGAATATTTTTATATTGATCTATAGATGTATTTAGCTCTTAAATATTTTTAAAAAGAATATCAATTTTTTGTATATAAATGTAAACTTCTTCTGAAAGATCTTGATCCTTTTTAAATTCTGAAAACATTACAAACCTTCATTCATTCAGTCAGTCTCCATCTCCACAGAAAACATTCAGTGATTATACCTTCAAGGAACTTCCTTTCACTTTATTAGGAAAGATATACTAGTACACTTGTAATAGAGTTGAGCTTACTGTTAAAAATTAATATCCTTAATGCTAATATGCCAGCTTCTCAAATTCCAAGAAATAGGCATTATTTATTCTTTAGCCAAGTATTTACGAAACATCTAATCACATAAACTAATATATATAAGCATTTTTGGTAATTATAAAATTATTAAATTAAACTAGTTTCACTATTTAGGCAGAATATTTTACAAAGATTATTCTGGGAAATATAAAAGAAAATTAAAAAAAATAATTAAGCACTATCTCAACCTGATAAAACTATAACCTATAAGGGCAGATAAAATACACAAATATGTATCTATACTAATAAATGGGTAATATGCTAATTAGACTGGGAGACCTTCTGGATGTTCTTTTGGACAAAGCCATGGTTGTGGGGCTGAGGCAGAGGTGGTTAGGGGCGATCAGGCCTGGAGGGGAGGAGGGCAGTTAGGGATAATCAGGCCATCAGGGGGGTGGGGGGAGTAGGAGGAACAATTGGGGGCAAGCAAGCCAGCAGGGGCCAGATGGGAGTGATCAGGCCAGCAGGGAGGGGCAGTTAGGGCAAGCAGGCCAGCAGGGGGGGCAGTTGGGGGCAAGCATGCTGGTGGGGGAGCGGGAGGAGGGGCAGATAGAGGCAAATAGGCTGGCTGAGGGGGGGCAGTTGGAAGCAATCATGTCGGCAAGGGGGGGGCAGTTGGGGAAGAGAAGGCTAATGGGGGTGCAGTTGGGAGTGAGCAGGATGGGAGGCAGAATGGTTAGGGGTGATCACACAGGCAGGCAGGTGAGCAGTTAGGAGTCAGCAGTCCTAAATTGTAAGAGAGATGTCCAACTGCCGGTTTAGGCCCAATCCCTGTGAGATGTCTGACCGGCAATCGAACATCCCCCGAGGGGTCCCAGATTGGAGAGGGTGCAGGCCAAGCTAAGGGACACCCTCCCCCTCCAACTCCCCCGAATTTCATGCACTGGGCCACTAGTATTCATATAAATACACATGAACCATATGAAGATGAAAAGTAAAATTACCTTTGATTTTATCTGACATTTCTTCATCCTTCTTTTCTTCAACATCTTGACCAACTGGAACAAATGTGAAGGACTTGTAGGAGACGATCATTAGACCATTCCCATCCGGCTCAATAGCAGCATAATGGGGCACTGACTTTCCACGGAGAATATCACGTTTAATAATTTCATATTTTTTATTATCTGAAAGAATATTATGCATTTTCTGAACAAAAATTGCAAATAAAAAACTATTATAAAAATGTTTTGAATATATGTTAATTTCAATTCATACTAATATTAAAATGTACTATTAAAAGACATTCTATTGGGTGTCTCTATAGATAAAAAGATAAGAAATATATAATACTGACCACCTAATAATCTGTAAATAAATCATAAATTTAATATGCTGGATTTGATAAAAATTGTTCTAGATTGTGCTATCCAATGTGGTAGCCATTGATCACAAGTGGCTATTTAATTTAAATTAAGTAAAATTGGAAATTCATTTCCTTAATCATACTAGCCACATTTCAGGTGCTCAACCACCACACAGGCTAGCCGCTATCACACTGAATGGCATACATATAAAACATGTCTGTCTTGCAGAAATTTGTACAGGACAGCAGTGCTCCAGATCTTGAAAGTGACTGACTGACCCAAAATACCAGCCTCTGAAGCATCTACCTTTTCCTTGACTACAGCCTGTCTCCTTTCCTAGCAAGTGCACGACAGGCATCTTCTGAAAAGAGCCAGGTGAGGATAAGGGGAAAAGTGTGGTGTGGACTATTTTTCTGCCCATTCTAGCTACTGATAAGAGGTTTTATTAAAATATGTTTAAGGTAGAAATGATTTTTATATACCCCCAGATATATATATTTATATGCCTATAATAAACATAAAAAATTATACTTAGAATTTTTAAGATATAAATAACTGTTTTCTAAAGTGTCTGGTAAATTAACTAAATTTATTCTATGAAAATACGTTATTTTTGCTTTTAAAAGAACTTAAACATTTTAGTTGAGTCTATGCCTTTACTTATACTGTTACACTATTACTGTTACTTCTACTGTAAACTTCACACTGAACAGTCAAAATTGTAACTCAATGTCATCTGAGTTATAAATAAAATCTATTCTAAAATATCAATTATTGGTTTTGCTCTAAAACTTCATCCACATTCACACATTTATTGCATGTATATTTAAGAATAAACTTTATTTCATTTCATGAATTAAAAACCCTTATTTTTTTCTACACAAGTACATGCAGGGCAAAGAGTCCTATCTCCTGTAAAGATAGTTAGACACTGTGTATTTTACAATGTGTGGGACAAAAAATAATAGGTAAGTTTCAAGTGAAATCCATGGTTAAATAAGTTGGGAAAGTCTAGATTAAAATTAAATTTTCTTTTTTACTCAAAATGTTTAGAAACTTTAATATGCTTAATGTGTAATGGGGGATACAGTATGCCCACATTTTAAAACTAACAAAATATAGTTAATTCATTAAATGCTCCACTTAACACAGCTTAGAAAAACACTGTTCTGTTATCTTCACTTAAATATAAAATGAACACTAGCACAATTACATTAGTAATAAGAGGGGAAAAAGGACGAGACATTAAGAAAAATAAAGTAGCCCTAGCCAGTTTGGCTCAGTGGTTGGAGCGTCAGCCTGTGGACTAAAGGGTCCCAGGTTTGATTCTGGTCAAGGGCAGGTACATCGGTTTCAGGCTTGATCCCCGGTATGTGGGAGGCAGCCAATCGATGTGTAGACACATCAATGTTTCTGCCTCTCCTCCTCATTTCCACTGCCTTTAAAATCAATGGAGAAAATATCCTCCAGTGAGAAATAACAAAAAGATAAAGTAAACCACAGAAAGAATGTTTCTATAACAACAATAATTAAAATTAGTTTTTGGGAGAAAAAAGAAAAGTAAGTCTAAATATATCTATCTAGCTGAGGCATGAAAAAAAGACGAAGGGAACAGAGGTGACAGAGGCAGAGCCACTGTGCTCTGAGGCATTCTGATAAAAACTCCTGTGGATTGAGCTAAAGCTGTCACAGAACCAAGTGTCTTAGAGGGAAAAAAAGGACATGCATGAGGATGTCTCCTGTGGAATGGTAAGCAACTTAATTAAAAAATAGAACTTTTATGATCTAAAGCAGGGATTTGCATAGCCTATATTTCCACAACAAATATTTTCAAAGAATTTTCTATTTTTAAATGGTTAAAAAAAAAATCAAGAGAACAGTATTTAAGTACATGTAAAAATCACATAAAATCCAAATGTCAGTACCCACAAATAAAGTATTATTGGAACACTACTACACTCATTCATGTATTGTCTGGCTGCTTTTGCACCATGTGACACACATCATATGGTTACCGTCTAGCCATTTATAGAGAACATTTTCCAACACCTAAAGTTTTAAGACACTGTGTTCCTCCAGAGATGAAACTACAATACTGGGGAGGTAGAAAAACAAATTATATAAAATACTTAGCAAAAAAATCCAGTAAATTTATTTAGCTTACTTATAAACTATTCTGATTATATATATCAGAATATGGCAGCCTTCCTTCCCCCGGCTGCCAGCACCCATTTCCCTCTGGCACCTGGGACCTAGGCTTCCCTCGCAGCCCTGGCTTCGTCCAGGAATATGCCCGGTCTAATTAGCATATTATGCTTTTATTATTATAGATACACACACACACATTATATGTATACATATATACACACATATGTGTGTATACATACACGGGCACACATACATATGCCCATGTATGTATATGCACATATATATTCACATATACATGTAGTTCATTTTACAAAAGCTCTCTCAGAAAAAAAATGCTAATAACCTTTATCGGATTAGACACTAGCAGCTACAGTAAGAAATCTCTTTCTATAGAGATCAATTTAATGATAATTTAAAACTGGTAAGTTAAATAAGTAGGTTAATAAAAACTACTGAGGAAAATAACAGTCATGGAAACAAGCTCCCTTAGTGCTAAACTATAGTAAAAAAAAAAATCACTTGGTGTATAAAAGTGAAGCACTGGCAAAGAGCAAGGCCAGACCATTAAAGGAATTCTAATTAATAAAAAAAAAAAAAGGTAAGTTTTAATGTCCAAGTTAAAAGTTTGACAGACAGTTTCAAACAGAATGAAAGTGAGAACTTTCCCACACATGAAAGCACTTTGGGTAAGAAGAAATAAGAGTTTTCCTGAGGGTAGAAACAAATGGCAAAGTCCAATTTTATTGAAAAGAAATCACAGTTGTGATTTAACAACTAGATATTCATTTCCATATAGGCAGTTATATTTAATTTATAGATCAATTATACTATGATTTATAATTTACATTTTGTTTTATATTCAGAGTGAGGCAAAAGTAAGTTTACAGTTATGAATACATGAAAGTGTATTCTTATATAATTTATTATTATTTTCCATATGAACCATACACCTATTTTTGTCCCACCCTATATATACAAATTCTTTTGCATATACATATATGTGTACATATACACATATATTCTTGTATATATTAACAATATACACTTTAAAAATTATGTAACAATGCCTCTTTTTATATTAAAAAAAAGCATAATTAACTGGGGAAGCACATTATTATTTTTTTATAAGGAGAAATTATCTATAGATATTCATTGCACTGGATGGCAGGTACTAGAATCACAATCCAATACCAAAGAAAACGCAAACAACATTTATTGGAACAGCTTTGCGCTTCAAACTTACTACATTATGGCAACCAGTTGGAGAGTCAGAGTATGTTATGTTTTACCTTTATTTTTCTTACTGATAGTGACCCACTCCAAGGAAACAAAGAAACCACTTCCTTTCATGTCCGATTCTTCTTTCTCCACTCGAAGAAGCAGGGTAGCTACTGAATGCTCTTCAGCTTTCAGCAATGAGATGCTGTGGATTAGGATAAAAGGACTCCCTAGTTCTTCATTATACACAATCTGAGAGAGAAAAAAGGTGACACGTACAAAAGTATATCTATATATAACATGAATGCAGAGAGCAGAGAGAATACACAGAATTCTGACAATCTAATAATTAATCTCCATACTATTTATTACAAGGAACACAAAATCTTAAAAAGCCTTTAAATAAAGGTTGCAACTTTAAATAGGATTCCTTGAAGAATTTGTAAAATATATTTGTTTTGTTTAACAGAGAAAACTTATCAGCACTCTTGGCTTAAAAACAAAACAGCAGGTTATACAAGTAGCATCTAAAGGAGAAGAACTAAAAGCAATCTCCCAGAAATGAGTTATCAAGTGAAAACAGTGCTCTCTACAAAAAAAGACTTGAGCAGTTACCGGTATTATTCCTCCGTCTCTTCCCTTATCTCATATATGATTTATTTCTGCTTTCTTTCTCTTAGTGTCTGGATACCAGGCATGCATGTATATGTGCATGTGTACTTTTTTCCCTATTTTTATTTTTGGTTTGTCTTTCTGTTGATTTCTGAAAGTTTATAAAGAGTCAAAGGCACTGGAAAACAAATCACTAAAACTTTCTTAGTTCTCAAAAACAAAAGAACAATTTACATTTAAAAGTTATAAATTCAACCATATTTAATACGTAATATTAAATTTGCTTATAAAAAAAGAAAATATAAGCATCATATGGAGACACAAAATCTTATCAAATTCTTTTTTAATACTATAAGCAATCTAAAAGACTATATTTTATTAGAGTAAATATTAAATAAAAGTGGTTTTTTAAAAATATATTTTATTGATTTTCCACAGAGAGGAAGAAAGAGGGATAGAGAGCTAGAAATATTGATGAGAGAGAAACATCGACCAGCTGCCTCAAAACCAATATATATGCCCTTGACCGGAATCGAACCCGGGACCTTTCAGTCTGCAGACTGACGCTCTATCCACTGAGCCAAACCGGTTTTGGCTAAATAAAAGTTCTTTAAGACTGATTTCTAAACAAATTTTCAAATGAAAAAAATAAATGAAAAAATACTCAACTAAGCAACAAAAATCAGCTCCTCTTATGTTGTTTTGTTTTAGTAGAAAATGCCCTGGTAAACATTCCAGACAACTAGCAGAGTGGTGCAATGGAAACTTGTTAGTCCCATGAACATAACAGCAAATATAACAAAGCATAGGAGAAAAGATATGCTAATGTAATTTTTTGGCCAACTCTTCTCTAAGAAGAAGGCAAGGTCAATGTTTAGTGTACTGCTTTACATCTATGAAACACTCAATAAATATCTGCTGGAAAAAAAATGCAATTTTTGACAACTGCATTGATCCCAGATTAAAACAGGAATGGTTAACATATCAGTTTTGTATAGGACATACATTTTATAATCTAATTAAAAATATATTCAAAGTATCATCCTAATATATAAAAACCCAGGGTCCATAATGACTGACCACCAGAAGTCAGTCCTGCAGTGAGTGCTGGATTGCTGTGATGACCCAGCACTGACTGCTGCAGGTGCGGGCACAATGACCTAGCACTGACTGCTGAGGCGGCTCTGGATCAGGCCTAGAGAGAGGCTTGGAAAGAGGCAGGGTCTGATTTGCAGCCGCCGTGGCAGCTGTTGATCAGGTGTTGCCTCTTTCTTCCTCTGCAGGCTGCACCAGCAGCAGTGTCTGTTTCTTTCCGGGCCTTACAGGGGCTGCTGATCAACCCTGCCTCTCTGATCAGGCCAGAAGATAGGCCTGGAAACATTGACTGGCATAGAAACCAACCAATCAGAACCAAATTGCCTGGCAGGGGAGGGCAGTTGGGGGTGATCAGACAGGCAGGCAAAGAGGTTAGGGGTGATCAGGCAGACAGGCAGGTGAGCAATTAGGAGCCAGCGGTCCCAGATTGCAAGAGGGATGTCCAACTGCTGGTTTAGGTCTGATACCTGTGGTTTAGGGCCCTCCCCCCCACTCAGTGCATGGATTTAGTCTATATATATAAAAGCCTAAGCAACCATTAGAACCAAATGACCATTCAACCAGTTGCTATGATGCACACTGACCACCAGGGGCAGATGCTCAATGCGGGAGCTGCCCCTGGTGGTTAGGGCGCTCCCATAGCCAACCTCCCGCAACCCCTCTCCACAGGCCCTGATGGAGGGGACTGGCAGGCCAACTTCCTGCGGTCCCTCCCCCAGGCCAGCCAGGCCCCCTGATAGGCTCCGATCGCCGGCCAGGCCGAGTGACCCCACCTGTGTACAAATTCGTGCACTGGGCCTCTAGTATATAATAAAAATAAAAAGTCACATATAAACTATCCCTAAAAAGTGTTATTTTAAAATCATTGGTTCCTTCCATTTATATATTCTTCCCAGCTTTTGCATAAATCTAAAACAACAAAAAACACACCTCACCTCCCATTTTTCAGAAGCATTATTTCCACGTTCGCCTGTTGCAATGAGATATAATCTTCCAGTTCCATCTGACAAGGTGACCCAGGTAGAAGATGTGAAATGGATAGATGCACAAAGGCGATTATCGTACGCTGTCAAATCTGTAGGAAGCCGAAATACCTCTCGTGGTCTTGCTAAGACAGTGTCCTAAAAAGAAGACCAATAGTATAAATGAATCCCTCCCTCTCTCCTGGGTCCATACACACAGAATTAATATCTGCAGTGTTACGCTCCTCCTCAAGGGAAGGCATCTAACTGCCCTCCCTTAGAGTACTACTGACTTCTAATAAAACATGGCAGAAATGATGGCAATGTGACTTTTGAGACTATAATAGATCTTATAAGATTTTGTATCTCCTTGCACTCTCTTTAACAGCACGTGGTCAAGCCCACCTCGGGAAGAATTGAGAACTCTTGACAATAAGCATCCTATGAGTGTGTCATCTTGGGAGTGTATCCTTCAAACCTAGTCAAGTCTTCAAATAACTGCAGTCCTGGCTGACATCGTCCTTAACTACAATTCCATGAGAAACTTTGAGACAGAACCAGCTAAGCCACTCGCAAATTTCAGCGAGATGACAAATGCTTATTGTTTCGTTTCAAGCCACTAAGGTTTTTTAAATTATAGTTAACATGCAATATTGTATTAATTATAGTTGTACAGTATAGTTATTCAACACTTATATCTACCTAATGACATGATCATGATAAATCACTAAAGAAAGTTGTTTCACAGAAATACATAGATAACTAATCCAAAGCAGGAATCTAGTTTTTATTCTTAAGTTTAGAGTTAATGATCAGCATTTTTAATTAGAAATACCACATCATGTTCTAAATTCCTAACATAGACATCAGCCTGTGGTATGAAAACACTACATTTAGACTATTAACTTAGGCTTTTGTCCACACATTTTTATTATGTCCATGACCTCATAACTTAAAGCTGTGAAATGGATTGCATCATTACACAAGAAAATATATAAAAAGGCCTACAATCCAGAAAATAAACTTCCTCTCATACACTGTATTCAATAATTTTGGGTTGTTGTTTTATTTTACAGTGAACAATTTTTCAACAGGACAAACATACTCCTTGATTCATGTTAATCCCGGCTCCTAGAACTGTTTAGATAGGTGCATATAAGTTTAAGTAAACTATATTAAATATCCTTACTAGCCTCAAAGTTTTTTAATTACCCATTGTTTCTAAAGCATACAATTTAAATTGTTTTGAAACAGCACCTTTCCTTCTTTTTGTACTCCTATTTCAGTGATTTACATAACACTGAATTAAATGCTTCAGTAACAAACACAGTGGCAGAAAGTTTTTAGAATGACCAAATCCTCCCCTCAGCTCACCCAATTCAAGCCCAATCTTATAATATATTATAGTTAAGTCCTTCCTAACGTCCTCTTACTGAGTCTTTGCTGTTCCCCTGGGTGTGCATTCTCCTTTGAGGCAAAAAGTAATAAATCCAAATAACTGTTAAGTAAAGTGCATTTACATATGGACATAAAGACATCTCCAAGACAATGACTGAAAAAAGATTCTGAATACATACAGTAAAATATATGGAAATAAACAAATGTTTTGACTTGATGGCACTGAGCAAGGTGTAGACAGACACGTGCTAGCATGTTAATAATGTTTATCATTAGAAAGAAAAATAAGATTGCATTGAGACTGGTGGTAGGGAAAAATGGGGGTAAGGGACAAGTTTCGTTCTTGCTTCAATTAACTGCTTGACTATTTACTTCCCTGAGCAATTTAAGTGTTAGAGACATAATTCAAAGATATTAATAAAATAGAATGGGACTTCTTGTTCAAAACAGTTTTTTCAAAGTAAGGCGTTCTAGTGATCTCCACACACACCCTTCTCAGCATCTCACCTAATGAGTCCTTATTAGGAAGGAGGGAGGGCTAAAGTCAAGTCACTATTCTTCATTTCTTACCTAATTATTAAGGTTATTTTAAGTCATTTTCTTTTAAATACAAGATTACACATGACTGAGATTTCTGGAAGTCTAACAGATAAATTAGTGTAATATTCAACAGAATGATTAAGATAATCAAATATGTTTCTGTGAAGCCAAATTAAATTAAAATACAAGAGAAAACACAAAGTATTTCTCTTATTTAAATGGCTAGAGGCCTGGTGCACGAAATTTGTGCATGGAGTGGGGGGAGAGGAAGGAGGAGTGGGAGAAGGTGTCCTTCATCCAATCTGGGAACCCTCTCACAATCCAGTACTGCTGGCTCACAACTGCTTGCCTGCCTGCTTTCCTGGTTGTCCCTAACCACTTCTTCCTGCCAGCCTGATTACCACCTAGCCACTCCCCTGCCAATCTGATTGCCCCTATCTGCCCTCCCCTGCAGGCCTGGTGACGCCTAACTGCCCTCCCCTGAAGAACTGTTCACCCAAACTGCCCTTCCCTGAAGGCCTGGTTCATCCCTAACTGCCCTCCCCTGCAGGCCTGGTCCCCCTGCAACTGTGCTCTCCTCTAGGCTTGGGTCCCCCCCAACTGCCCTCCCCTGCAGGTCCGGTCACCCCCACCTTCCTCCTCTGCCGCCTAGTCACCCCTAACTACCCTCCCCTGCAGGCTTGATTGCTCTCAACTGCCCTCTCTTGCAGGCCTGATCCCTTTCAACTGCCCTCCCCTGTTGGCCATCTTGTGTCCACATGGGGGCAGCCATCTTTGACCACATGGGGACAGCCATATTGTGTGTTGGAGTGATGGTCAATTTGCATATTACTATTTTATTAGATAGGATAATTTAAGTAAAAGCAACATGAATATTCCTGATTTTTAAAATCTATTTCTGAAAGGATAAATTTTTAAATGGGCTATATGCAAAAAAAATTTCCTCATGTAATATGTTAACAAATCTTAAGTTACAGTATTAAATAATTTTTTAATAACCTCCACTGACAGTTTTACAAAGTGTTCTCACAATAACACTTCATGTAATTGGCATCTATAATGTCCTAGTCCCACCTGATCTTTTCCTTCTTCTAAATAAAAATAATAATGTAATTATGTTCAAGGCTACTAAAAATCATTCTGAGGAAACATTTCACAGGTGAATTGCAAAAGAATTAAAATTTCATTGGCAAATAAAACAGGGAATGGCTATCATGTAAAAGCGTTGTATTAAGTAAGTGCTTTGACTTTTTACCATCTTATTTAATTGTTAACAAGCCTGATGAAGTTGAAATTATTATCCCTCTCATTTTAAGAAGATAGAGAGCTCTGTTTCCAAAGATTAAATAATATGCCTGGGTCTCCAGAAATTGACAGCACAAATTCAAAAAAAGGCTAATGTTCTTTCCTGTATTCACACTTTCTTGAAATGAACCACTTCTCAAATTTTTCTAAACAAATGATACCTCAGACCTCACTGCAATATTCCACTCCCAAAGTACCACTATAAATACAACTACTATATTCAGTTTTTCTTCACATTAATATATTTTCAAAAACATATTTTTACTTATTTCAGAGAGCAAGGAAGAGGGAGAGATAGAAATCATCAATGATGAGAGAGAATAATTGATAGGCTGCCTCCTGCATGGCCCATACTAGGCATCAAGCCCGCAACCTGGGCATGTACCCGTGACTGGAATCGAACCTGGGACCCTTCAGTCTGCAGGCCAACCCTCTATCCACTGAGCCAAACCAGCCAGTGCTTCATGTTAATACATTACTCAGTATTTTTATTAGATTTCTCAGTCAATAAAACATAAAAATTATAATGTCTATATATTGTATATAAATGACTAAATAAATAGTAAATAAGTATTGATGTTATATAAATAGATTAGGGGCCTCTTAATTTCATTTACAAGGAGACAAGCTTTGAAGTAACAAAACATTTTTCTAGCATTTATAGAAAAGGTTACTCAAGTTTTAAAAAATAGTCAAGCAGAATTAAGTAAGAGGACCATTTACTAGTATCATTAGACAGTGACATTTAAAATTTTGCCCTTTTTAAAGGAAGTGATCTTTCTCTGGAGAAAGGCTTTCATCGCTAATAATTTTTAACTACCTGAAAAAAATCTTCCTCTGTCCTTTTTTGTGTGTGCTAAGGCTTAAAGAAGAGGTATTTCTAATTAATTGCTGTTTGACTAAGTAATGTCTCTCCATAACATAAACAGTGCCAAGACTTTACTCTTTTAATTTTTTCTTTAACTAGGAAAATTAATGGCTCCATATTAATAAACTCATCCATAGAAAATAAGCTGAGATTCTTATCCAGAGAGGAACATACTGGCACACATTTGAGCTGGACTAACAAATTGTGACCTGTCACTCCAAGGCACAGCCTCACAAACGCTGCTAACAAAAGGAACTCAGTAACTTGGCCTGGATCTTTAAGCGCAATTTAAAGATGCACCATAACATGACACTCTTCTGATGGCCAGAAACTAGTTTTTCAGGTAAATGGAAAACACTGACAGAATTTCCTAAATAAGAAAATGATGAGATTAAAATAACAAATCTGATCATAAAACAAAATAAAAACTAAATTTTAAACTCTTTTATTTTTTTGCTTCCTTAAGGCATTTTTACTTCCTAAGTATTCTTCCTCCCAATTGACATTTCTCTAAAATTGTAAGCCCACAAATTAAACTGACTTAGAAGTAAATAGAATGCCTCTATAAATCTGTGTTGAGATGCCGCCATCTGCTGGCTCCTGACAAAACCGGAAGTCCAGATATGGGTGAATTTCCTTCCATAAGCCCCACAAGCCTTCACGTTAGCCACACCAGACACAGGAAAGAGCCTCTCTGGGACTGGAGCACGTGTGACTTTGACTAAAGGAAAAAACAACACAGAAAAACGAAATCTCCCCAGGAAAACCAGACAATAAAGTGAATATTAGAACAACTGTCCTCTGCTATAAAAAACCCAATGTGCAGGGAGTGGTCAATAGTCTTCACTGTCCCCCACAGACCTTCAAAGAGCAAATAGGGATTTTTTTGCTCACCAGAAAGGTAAGAATAAATAAATATGGTATTATTCTCTACCACCACAAGTTCAAGTTTCTCAAAACCTGGTCCCTGAAATAAAGCAAAACCATCTGAGGTGTTGCATAGAATGCAGATAGATCCCCAGGCCACGACCAATCCCGATACACTGAA